CTTTTTTCCCCCTCCCTCTCTTTCTCTTCCCGTCCCGTTTCTTTCGCTCCTCTCGTATTTGTTCGCTTATGTAACATTGACTGTATTCTAAAGTTTCTGTTTAATATACGTACTACGATAATTACAGTATTGTTACTTGGCTTTGGCGACTATGCCAACGCGCATATCCTCTTATTTCCACGGCGATGTACACAATAGGTGAAAAAAGTCTTTAGAGGAAAATAGGTTCTTTAGTAAATTGACAAGTAGATAGATTCGTGTTCGTGTACGTGTGTAGACACGTGTACGCATTGCGTGTTTGTGTGTGGTGTGTGTGGGAAGGAGATGTGTGTGTCTGGTGTGTATCCGTCTGTGTAAAACTGTGTGTATGTAAAAGCGTGTGTCGGTGTAGGTCGAGGAGAACGCGACCCTAGACTCACCCTACGATCCTCTTTCCTCGGTCCTTTCGCTCCCTACCGTGTTTCCTGCGTTACACGTATATGGGATGTTCTGTCTCGTAAAATCGGCACGGCGATCTCTTAAATCGGGAACCGTTTGCAAACACGTCTCGCATAAAGTCTAACCCCGTATTCAGCGGGTGTACGGCGCATCCGATGCGTACTTTGTATTGTATATCTCTAACATGTTTTATGAAAAATGAGAAGATACTTTTGTTTATGCTTGGTGTAGAATAAAAAAAAAATTATACATATTGAAAAAAATATATACATATTGTTTGGGAAAAAATATATACATATTGAAAAAAATAAGATTATGAAACTTAGAGGAATTCTTGCCATCCCATCAATATAATTTGCTGTATTATTACGAAATCTATTAAAAAAAAATCTAATTAAAAAACAGATAATGTTAAATTAATAGCCACTATACATAAAAAAATATAAAATTTATGAAGGAACGAATGCAAGAGATACCAACCATGTGTTAGGATCATACAATTCCTTCGATCGTGTTATGTGACTCCTGTACGTATTCGATACCTCTCGAAATCCGCTTAGCGCGAGATATTGCACCGACATACATAAGACAGAACGCGGTGTACATATGCACGCCCGACGAGTTTCCACGTCACATTCCCGCGCGTTTGCCCGTCCCCGCAATTCCGCCGGGTCTGCGGCCGTCGGCCGTCCTCAGAGAGGATCGCTTCGTCTGGTGGCCATCTTCGCCGCTCTGGAGGCCAAGGCGCCCAAGGAGCACACCAGACCCGTCAGCGTCTCCCAGAATGTGGTCCTGCGTCGCTTGTGCGTCGCTTGGCCGACGTATCCCAGATAGTAGCCGGCATTCCGATCGTTGTTGCCGGCGGCGCGAGTCTCGTAAGCGCCGCCGCCGCCGCCGCCGCCGCTTCCATTGCTGGACCTGGCGCCGACGCTGGATCTGGGCTGCTGCAGGATGCTGCGACGATGCTCCTGACCGCTGCGATCGATGCTCCGTCTGGGCGAGGAGACCCCGCTGCCACCGCTGGCGTTGCTGTGCCGATGATGTGGCCGCTGCTCCTCGTAGAGCTGCTGCTGCAACTGCACGTTGCTCAACCGTCGATCCATCATCCTGACCAGATTCTGATGTACCCGCTGGTCCTCGTCCGGCACCGCCGCCGCCGCCGCCGCCGCCGTCGCCGGCGTCAACTGGCGCCGATAACCCGGTGGTGTTGGTGACGTTGATAATTCGCGTTCCACTTGTCAAGCGTATTCGGTGTCGCTGGACGCCGACCGCTCGAGATGACCCTGATGACCCACCGAGTGATGCTGTTGATTCGGATGTTGCTGCTGCTGTTGCTGCTGCGCCTGTGCGTACGCCAGGCTCTTCTGATAGCTGAACAGCTGCCGTTCGAGACTATAATTCTCCGCTTGCAGCGACACGATCTCGCGTCGCATCTGCTGATTGTGCACGCGACACACGTCGTCGTACTTGTGATAGGTCGCCTGAAAGAGCAGGTGGCTCTCGTTCCACTCCAGCCGAATCCTCAGCTGACCCTTGTCCGTGAGGTACGGACAGTGATTCTCCTTCACCTCATTCATGTCCACGTTCGTCTCCATAATGATACCCTCGTCAACGGACTCCTGAACGTAGTAGCGGCTGAACGGTTCGCCGGGCAGTCCAATCGCCGCGACGTTTGGTCCCTCGCCCCTCAGTAGATATGCCGACCAACTGACGTACCTGTTTGAACAAAAAGTGTCTCAAAATTATAGTTTTCCTAAATATCAACTCGGAATCTCTTCGATGTTCTTCAAGCTTGGTTTATATTATGAAAGAACATCTATCCTTTATAAAAATCTTTATTATCAATGAACATTATTTTAACGCTAGAAGTTTTATTATTTTCCCGCTAATCCCGTTAATTAGATTACAATTTTTATTATTGATTGATTTACTGATGAAAAATTCTTATGTAAAAAATATTAAATTGACATATATTTAAGAAAATCTACTATTAAAAATATGTATAAGTGGTTACAATTAAATATGATTTTAACTTTTTAACGATAAAAATAAAATGCAAACCTTAAGTGATTCCTCGGCACATTATGGATGTCTTTGTACACCAAGTGCAGCCTGACCGTGTCGGAGTTGAGATCGGCGCGGATGGCCCAGGCCTGCTTGTCGCGATCGTAGCAGGGCGCAGCCGGCAGGACCGACGGGCCCAGCGCCTGCACTGCGACCTCGCAAATGGTCCTCGCCTCGAGCATCTCGAGCGACACGCGGAGCGTGCCCTTGTGCGCGATGTCGGACCATCTGACCCTCGTGTGCCATCCGAAGCCGCAGCCATCGTCGTCGGATATGTCCTCGATTTGCCCGGAGTCGATCCGCCGCTCGCCCTCGCCCAGGGCCAGACTGTATCTCACCCGGCATCGATGGTCGAAGCCCGACAGTCGCATCAGATAGACGCTCACGCGGCTGTCCTGGCCGCGACCGTCCGCGTCCTTGCCGTGCGGATAGATGACCAGATTCCAGTCGAAACCGCCGAACGCGAAGTAGTCGGTCTCCAGCTTGCTCGGCTTCGTCTGGCCGGCCGAGAACACCGACGTTGGCATCCTGACCTCCGTCATGTAGACCGTCCGCACGTTCGCCATGGACAGCTCCAGCTGAAACTCGCCATTGGTGTCGGCGAAATTACGGCTGTAGAGGTCCGCCACGGCGATGTAGCTGCGGTTGCCCTGGGCCGGCGCCTCGTAGGTGAACTTGACGCGCTTGCCGGAGAAGCTCTCGTTCATGGAGAAGTGCTCCCGATTCAGCAGCGTGAACGTGAAGTCCACGTATACGCGGAGGTTTCTTGACGCGCCACGCCATACCAAGTACACGCCCAGGACCTTGGATGGGATAAACATCGGATGGTATTCGCTATTTAATTCTAATCGTATTTCAGCTTTCGAGATAAATTAACCGCAAATAATACTATTTCGGCTCCGCTAACCATTTTAATTTTTTCTTTTTTTTTATTATACAGTACAGAATAATAAAAATATGTGAATATAATATCTACAAATAATACTAATGATACAAATAATATCAAAGCAACTCTTCACTAATCGAAAACAAGAATATTGAAAATTACCCAATTGGCACCTTTAATAATTTCAGCGTTAAACGTTCAAAGAGCGGAGGGATTTAAATTAATAGATATTTCCTTTGTATTTTATACAATAGAAAGAACTTTCTGTTGTAAACCTGTTCTACACCTGATTTCTGTGTCGATAATTAAATAAACATTTATAGAAATATGTAAAAGATTTTATGACTAACAATTCTAATCGAATCGAATGTCGAATTGGATGTCGCCGATCGAATTACCTTTTCCCCGCGTGAAAAAGCGACGGCCCATCTCTGAAAACCGCATACTAGTTCCTTGCTGGTGACGTCCCTCTCAGGATCGCGCACGACGGTCCTAGTGACGACGAAGGAGAAGACCCGCGTGCCACTGCGATCGTGCAGCTGCGCGAACCTATACAACAAAGCCATCACCGCATCTCGAGGGCACCGTTAACCCGATGGTCCACGATGGTTTACGAGAAGGATTCGTCCTGGTCGATTTATGGCAATCTGAAAAATACATAATATTCCGTTAGTCGCCTAACGACGATAATATCTTTACTGCCTAATACCAAAATAAGAACAAACAGAAAAAAAAATCTTTAAAGAATCGAACAAACTTTCTCTTATTTCGACGCTTTTTATATATTTTTTTTCCAACATATTTTAAACTCGCGTTATTTTAGAGTATTAGGCGGTATTATTACAACGGAAATAATAATTAACTTCTACCTTGAATGAAGACTTTAATACCGAACGGCCCAAAATCTCGGAATATTCTCTGTTAAATATTCTCTTTGAGATTTAAAGCGCGGCAGCCAAAAAGTTCTTGCCCGAGTTTCCTTGGGGTATTCGAGTCGAGGGATCAGTTCGAGGTAGTATTCATCTTAATCCGCTTTCATTCCTAAATACTACGACGTACATAAGAGCCTTTGTGGCATTAATTGTCGTGTATAACAGAGCACGACAATGAAACGCGCGAGTAGGCTCTAACGCAGAGTTTTTCCGTGGAGGAGCACGGAGGAAAAGTGACCTGGTTTTCGCGAATGGCAAATACCTCAACGCTGCTTTTCTGTCGTATTTGCAGATATATGCGTTTCGGATCTCGTTTCTAAAACTGTAAAAAAATATGCTTTACGAGGGAATCAATTCGCATATTTCAACACACGTATACAATTTCGCATATTTTGATATACATCATAACGCCGTTGGTGTGTCAATCCAACGAAATTCATTTATAACCGATGCGCTGTGCTATATATTCTCTCTCTCTCTCTCTTTCTCTCTCTCTCTCTCTCTCTCTATCGATCTACTAATTTACATCCACGAATGTGCTGCGATAAACCAAATTTAGCACTTTGCGGCCTCTGTGTCAAATTACATTCTATTGCAAAGCTGCATTTTGGAATCCGCGACAGTCGCAATGTATTATGTACCGTGTCGCTCATATTCGCCTATTTTCACGCGGTACGCTCCATCCATGATAATCCATCTATCAATCCGTCATTTGAGTGTCATGTCAATGCGACAGATAATATACGTTTAATAAATCATTAAGTCGTAAATGCGATTAGCAAAATTTAAGAACACGAAAGAATCAATCATGTGAAGATAAAACATAAATCTCGCGGTTTCTTTTCGCGTACGTCAGAAAAATTTATCGTCCAAGAAGAAAACGTAAGTTCCTGACTAATTTTTTATCTATTATTGTCACTTTTTACGACAGTAGTGTTTCTGGTGCCGTGCCGTGTATCTAACGGTCGCGTGAATTACGTTCCTCACTGCTTAAAAACATTCAATAGATCATCATGTCGGCGCTGAAGAGGGAGGAGGCTCCCCAAGTCTTTAGGGAGGCTATTCTTTATCGAGAATGGGGCTATCGACTGGCCGCTCTTGGTAGACACTTCGTGGCCATACATTATTTCGAGAAGGCGTCCAAATCAGCCGAGGCCGAGGATCTTAGAACGTTGATCGGCCTCTACAGAGCGCTCATCAAGTGCACGAAATATTTCGCGGCGGAAAAACTGTCGGAGAGATGTATGAGAAGGTGTAGGTACAGCCCAGACAAGAAACTTCGTGCAAACGTGAAAACGTAAAGTTAACGTGCTGTTATTTAGATACCAAGGCTATACTCTTTTCACACTTTCACGGTAATACGCAAATGAATGTTATTGTAATTATCTTCCCTCCCCGCCCTCCCCCGTTATTAATCATCCCCATTTTGTTCTCACGCGTTTACAATAGTAACACGTCCGCGCCTTCCGTTTATTTAGGGCTATTTTCTTAAAATTCACCTCTAGGTATTTTCAGCCTACGAACAATGTTTATCCTGTAACGTGGCGTATAAACGGTACGTCGCGCTTAAGCGGCGTTAATCGATCGACGACGTTCGATAATCGTCTTTCGCTCGATAGTTTCATAAGAAAAAAACGAGAGAAAAAAAAATAGCGCGCACACGCTTGATCTCTGCGTTCGTGCGTATGCACATCGTCGTGTCTCTCGCCCCGCAGATCCCGGCCATTATAAAGTGCGGCAGATGCGAATGGAGGCGCTTTTCCAGATCGGCAAGTTCGGTCACAGTCTGGTTCACGCGTACGAGGGCATGCGGCGGCACGGGGTGACCTTTGAGCACGGCGTCTATCAGGCAAACGAGACCATCGAAGATTGCATCGGCCGGAACACGTCGCCCGTCGCGCTGCTGCTGCTCTACCCGTGGATACGGCGTCTGTGGCAGCACCGCGAGCTCCTGATCGACAAGCTCGACGAGGAGGAGGACGAGCTCGAAGGTGCGTGATCGCGCGATTAGGGGGGGCAAAAGTGGGCGACAAACGATCGCGCGTCTCGCTCGTCGCGATATCAGTTCAGCGAGCGAGTATACATACTCGACGAGTCACAGTGAGAGAACAGTCGTCTCGGAATATAGCGCTCACTGACTTTTACGAGGCGAGATTCAATTTTCGCCGATGGTAGAGAAAGAGAGAGAGAGAGAGAGAGAGAGAGAGAAAATACTTCGGTTCTTATCGGACCTCGTTTTATCGAAGCAAAGTCGAGTAACAGTGATATAAGTGTACGGCCTTTCTCAGTGATATAACCGAGAACTCATCACGTTCTCTCTCTCTCTCTCTCTCTCTCTCTCTGAATGATTTTACTAGACGATATCGTTGTAAAATTACGTGCGTTATCTGTAAATAATAAAAAAATTTTGTGTAAGTACAAATACCTTGGAATTGCCTCGGCGATAATTCGACGAGAGTGGATTGGCTTTACGACCGCGTGTGTAGGTGTAGTCGCGGAGGATGAGGTGAGATTCAAGGTGAACGATCCCGAGGTGCAGCGGCAGACGCGAATGAAAAGGCTCAACCGTATCATAGCGCGAATGGATATGGGTTACCTGACGATCGATAGGGATTTCCTCGAGGAGATGATGAGCCGGCCGGAGATCGTCTCCTCGCACAGCAAGAGGTCGATCGCCGAGCTGCTCGCTCTCGCGAGTACGTGCCATCGTAACGCGACGTACCTGCAGAATCTTCTGCGCATGAGACGGCCGTTCTACGTCACCCTGTTCCGACGGCGTAAGATCTCGAAGGGGTGCAGAACGATGATGGAACGGGAGAGAAAATTGCGGAGGAACGTCGTCGTCGTAAAGGCGGATTTTCTCCTGCGCCTCCTGCAAGCCGCGAGGATCAACAAGGACTATCCGACCTTCTTCAAGTCGGTAACGGTGGTTCTCCGGACTTGCTCCGGAGAGAACAAGTCGCCAATAAGCTACGGATATACTGCGGATATTTCGAAACGCGCGTCCGTTTTCTTGAAATTGAAGTGTCCGAGAGGCACTCGGATATTATCGTTGCCATCGCCGGAGTTGCTCGCGCGCGGGCAGTACATTCGTAGCGAAATTTATAAAGTTTCTAAACTTATTTAAGCTTATGAGATTCCGATCTGACCGTCACGATCCTCGGCCAGGCTCGTCGATCACGTCAAGGACAGCTTCGACGCGTACTCGGACAGGATGTTCCCGCTGAAGCAACGGTGCCTGGACGCGCTGTACAAGACGGTGGCACGGGTGTACATTGACACGCGTAATTTGACGTCTCTGGACAACGAGGAAATGAAGACGAGGTATGTGAAGCATCACCTGGGGATACGGGTTGCAACGCTGCCCCGCGACATCGATCTCGCATGGATGCCGACTGTGAACTCGAAGGAGACGCTGAAGATGTTCCGGAGGTACATATAACTCATTCATAAATAGATTTTGGGGGCGGAATACGTGATCTCTTGTAAATTTCCCTTCTCCTTTATGCAAATAGATATTCATGTTTTATTTCCGTGTTATTAGAAGCCACGGGAGCAACACCGATGAAAGATTTAATCGGGGAACTAGTTTATTTCTGCAAGTTTCACTCTCTTTGAAGTAACAGCCGTTACCTCTTTCATCTCCGTTCGGCATAAAGCTGCACAATAATTTATACGATTACAGATTATATAATTTAGAAACGTTATATAATTTATGCGTGTAATTTACAGTTATAATTATGCGCTCGTGGTTAATCCACCATAATAATTCCCATTTAACCAATCGATATTTCGAAAACGGCTCCCGATATTTGCGGTTCGAACAGGAGATTAGCTATGGCATCCGCGCCGCTCGAGCTCGCCTGGCTGCATCATGAATTTTGCAAGTTTCTCATCGACATACACCGCCTCGACATGGCCAGATTCTACGCCAAGAAGGGACGGGACATGGCGCGGGCGGCGAAATGCGACGAATGGGTGCTGAACATCGATCACCTGATGCTGCGAATCGAGGTCCATCAGAATAACCGGAACGAGGCGCGAGACATCGCGATTCAAGCGCTCGCGCACGCCAAAACGCTCAATATCGATTGTCTGGTAAAAATAAAATTTCATACCTTCGCGATAGCTATTCGTCGTAACGTCGTAGCGCGCGTCGCCATTTTGCGGTATTCTCGAATTTATTTTACGATCGATATGCGCACATTATTTAAAATTAGCTCGCGACGCGCGCGAGAAGAGAACGTGTTTAAAAAAGTATCGGAAAACGACGAGTAAAACCGATTCGCCCGCTCGCCGCCGCCACCGACAGTAATTTGCGCTAATTTTTCCCCTCTTCAGAACAATCCGCGCCGTCGCGTCCTTTGAATTTTTTAATAGATGAAGTCTGGCTCTACGGCGAAATATATTTATCGGTGCATTATCGCGACACATGTTATATTTACTAAACGAACGAGAGCTAATTTTCTTCAGAAAATTTTACGTTCTCGTTATGCTTTTCTTTAGACAACAAAAGGTTTCTTTTTCCTTCCTTTTTTTTGTTCAGGCGTTATACATTCCCGTTATTTCCCGACCACAGGTTTTTTCGTATTAGGTGTAAAAAAAGCTAGAAAAGCTGCAGCGGGAATATCTCTCTTCTTGAAGACGAATTTTGTAACGATCCCCTTTCGCGAGAGGCAGTCCTCGCCATTATGCGACACAATCGAGTCGCTGACGTAGGGATAAGCAAAGCATTTTCCATTGAGTGCTTATCCCTTGGGTGCTTAATTCAAGGGCCGGGTATAATGTTTCCGCAGATAGATTTCTATGAAAGGGTCGTGAGGATCGTGGACGAGCTGGACGTGGAGCGTAGCGGTGACTTTGACGGCATCGCGGCCAGGCAGCAGCTTATCCTCGAGCTGATGCCGAAGGAGATGAGGGGAGAGGTGGATTTTCTGTGGCGGCGAATGGACGTCGTGCCCGCCGAGAGGCGACTCTCCGTCATGCCGGGCTGCAAGCCGATCGATCGAAAGTTCAAAATGCCGTCCACGCGAAGAACGATATTACCCAGCCCGCCGAAGGACCCGGAGAGGGACGCCAGGATCGCTTTGTTGCGGCAGCACGCCCCGCCGCGCAGGCGACCGGGTTTTGTGAATTTTCAAGAGTACGATTAATCCGGGGTCGTCAATCGGGGCCGCGAACACAGTCGTGTCTCTTGCATCGTTTGCGCCGGCATTTCATTGGAAATTATCGCCGGATAATCGACGCCGGCCGCAGATGTACACAACGACGCGTGGATACGCGAATGGGAGCTTCATTTCGACCGTTACGTTATTAATGCGCGTTTGTTCGTTTCAAATTTATTAAAAGGCCATTAAAAAATCTGTACCTCATCAACGGGTTTATTTGCAGTTTCTATTTCACGCTGACGGAGGCAATTTGTTCGGCCACATTTTGCAAATAAAACAATATGTTGAAATATACGCTCATTTTTATTTTATTTTATTTTATTTTTTTTACTCGTTTAGAATATAATTTTATGCTACTTTCTACCTTTGGCGGAACCGCAAAGAGCGTTAAGATTACGCTGCATAAAGTAACGCGGCATTAAGAATTCTCGACCGACGTTGCAGCTCCGCTACTTTACGTAATCACAATCGCGTACGGTGATTTCTCTCTTTTTATTATTCGCCGCGCATCATCCGCGCTCCGCCCTCGTTATCCGCGCGTTTCAATCTGGCGACGCGTCTGACAGGACCATTTCGCCGTGACGCACGGTCGTTTTCCAATAACGACATCGCGCCCTCCCAATCCGAGAGATGAGCAGCATTCAGGCCGTCCGCGGAGTTAACCGAAAGCATCGTGGCGGAAGTCTCCTTATACCGCAACGACACTCCCGGGGTTCTTTTTTTCCCCTTTTCTTTATTTTCTTTTCTTTTACGCTCGTTACCATCGCCTGAAAATTCCACTTCCACCCCCTTTGTTTTTTTTTCTCGCCCCATTTGCCGGGCTCTCCGGCAACGCTTTACCGCGGCGATATGCCGACTGTTAATTGGCAAGAATAATTAATTAGCCGCCGCGTGGGGACAATATGGTAATATATTGAGCGGCAAAGAGAGTAAGAGAGAAAAGGGAAATTAGTGCGATGGAAATTGAATATAATAAATAAAATACGTGTATTTGTGCGATTTGCGTTTTAATTAAAAACCCCCTCGTTTATTTCTACAATGCGTAAGTCTAACGCGTGATGTAAGAATTACGTTACGTCATGTCTTCCTGGAATCGTCTGCGTTGGAAATTATAGCGTGAGACGGATAGCCTTCTATTAAGTCGCTCGGGAAGCGGGTCGCTATATGCGTTATTGTTTCAGATACGCAATGAAATTTACGAAGACAGATTACGAAGATAGATTACAAAGATTACTTCTCGTGCACGAGGATGTTCATAAATGCTGCCGCATAGTAATTATAGTATAGCTAGTCGCAATATCGCTCGTCTGCCTCGAAATTTATACTATTGCTGATCTTTTACAAGTATTACATTTATCTAATAAAATTGCATTCATTTATATAATTACGTATATTTTTATAATTAATGAAAAAAAAACAACTTGCCCGAGTTGGCGTATATAGAACAGAAGATAAACATACCATATAATTACATTTGTGCACAATTAGGTTAATATAACAATCGTGTATGTCACAAACAGACCCGTTAACGGCTGCATTCCCACATTCACTGCCAGCGCTGAAAATCTATAGTCTACGTTACGCGTTGCTATATATAGATTTTCAGCGCTGGCAGTGAATTTCGGAACACAGGCCACATACCTATCTCGCGTTGCACGCGAGGAATCGATTTTAAACGAGCAAAATTGGTTGCGAGAGGCAGCCTCCGTCCGAAAAAACAAATCGCCGATAACTTTGATCGGGTGGACTCGCGGCGGACGAAACAGAGAGAGAGAAAGAGAGAGACAAAGAGAGCGAGGCGATATGAATGGCTACCTCTGCCAGACGGAAGCTCACCAACGCCACGCGCGATCTCGACATGACCATCAGGCAGACCGTGGAGAGCGCGGAGAGCCGCGCGCGCCTTCAGATAAAGACCAGCGCTACGAAACTGTCCCGCGGAAATAACCGGCAGTATGCACAGGCCCTACATCGCCAGGCGGACGAGCTGTGCCAGCGGTAGGGAGAGGGGGGGGGAGGGGGGCGAGGGAGGTGATCAATACCTGTTAACGATATTAAGTGCTGGAAGGCATTAATCGCGCCGTTCCACTTCATATTTCACGACTTTTGATTAGCCCGGTTAATTTGACGCGGGCGTGACGCCGGTCTCGAGGGTCCGCGCGCCGTTGAATAATTCCGGAATCGATCGCCGTTTTCGGGGTTACATCAAAAGCGCATTAACCCCTTACTCTGCACGCTTCCGTTTTCCGCCCGCTCCTTTTTCCGCGACGCGGATCTAAACAGGCCGACCGTTTCTTTAATAATGTGTTCGTCTCTGAAAGGATCTCGCGCGGTCGCGCTGAATCGCGAGCGCGCGTGTAACAATGAGAGAGGAAGGGTATTGTGTTGCCTCGACGTCCTGTAATTTTCAATTGGAAATTGGATCCGCACATGTGAATGTGTAGAAGTGATCACGGTGTATACCTATTAACTTAGTTACGTCAAACGTGTCAATATTTTACACGGATGTAGATTGATCGACGTGTATAAGCGATGAAAACAATTTCTTTCGTGCGGCAAGAAAGTCTTTCGTCTGAAATAAATCCTATCTGAAGACTGAATAGAGAAAGTTAGTTAAAAATTTTTCTCTATTTTGTTCCTCACACACACAATAGTTTCTCGATTGCATTTTCAATGCTAGTACTACGCATTTTAATAAATTGATAATTGCAGCGTTTAATATTTCAAACATATTGATATTTTGAACTGAAATATTGGTAAATATTTTCGTTAACTGCGTGAAAATTTATCGGATGTTGTAGCAAGGCGAGTTTGTTATCGATAAAATGCAGCGCATAACTTCGCTGCACCGAATATTAAAAATTTAAAGCTCGTTACGGTAACCAATCATAATTGTCGCTGAGGTATGAGCATTTCGGCCGCACTTGAGAAAAAAATGGGTCATGGGGAATATCGGAAATGTTGCCAATACGTCTCGTTACCCTGAAAGAACATTCGACGAGAATATCGCTTTACAAACGGTCGATGTTTAGTTTTTGCGGATAGCCATGAGCGTTTTAATTCTGCAAATAGGTTTCCTTTTTCCTCGATTAAAAAAAAAATTCTCAAACAGTCTGCGGCTTAATCCTGTGTCAATAAAGCGATAGACGCTTTTCTTGTAGCCTTGCAATTGTAACAGTAGACATTATTATATTCATACTTTTATCGAAAATTTTGTTTTTGAATAAATATATAAATAAATATCGAGTATTTATCAAAATACTTACAATATTTTTATAAAATTGATTATTTTACATGGTATATACTTATATATATATATATATATATATATATATATGTATAACATATTTATATTAAATTATTAAATTCTACTTTGATAAAACAATACTTATTAATAATGTAATAATTGCTTAATAATTCATTAGGTATTCAAACGTTTTATATGAAATCGTTTATACCATTGCGGGATTAATAATAAAGCCTAAATGACAAGAATAATTAATAGGAATAATTAATAATTATTAATATTACTTAATAAAGTAATACCTCAAAATTCACCCACATAAATCGTACAGTGGCGAGTACGAGTCGGCACTGGTGTTGTATCATCGAGCAGCTACCGTGTGTCCGCACGATAGCAGTCACAGTGTGGCGGCGCGACGTACCGCAGCCACGATAAGCTCGTGGAACAATTCGGAAAAAAGCTCGTCGAGAGACGACGCGATTTCGAGGGTGACTTCGAGTCACGAGAGTGTGGCACTCAAAGCGCGCGATACCACGAAGTCTTTTAATGACCTATCAATTATCCCCGACGTTCTCAGGTAAGAGCAGATCGAACTCACTTATATTTAACGTAGATGATAAATATTCCAACAGCGCGAATCTTAATTTCAAAGATTCCTCTATAAATTTTTTAAAGCCGATTTTTTATTAATATTCCAACCGCGCGGATCGCAATCTTAATTTCAAAGATTTCCCTATAAATTTTTTAAAGCCGATTTTTTTTTATTACTTCAATCTTTTGACATCCAAGATTAAATATTACAGCGATTACATCTTGAAATAAAATTTGAATTAAAATTAAAATTGAGAAAAACAAAGTTTCTTCTACTTTAAAACGACGAGATGATGGCGTTATTCAATTGCATTCAAGAAATTTAGTTTAATCGAAGTCTTTATCCTTGATAAGTTAAAACTTGAATATTGCCAAGTGTCTCGATGCTTCGATCAAAGGAGTTTTCTATCTTCTTCAGATATCTCGATAGCCACAAGAAGCCCTCGTATAAAATCTCCCCCGCTCTCGGATCCTTGACTTCCAAGCTAATCCGATCCAGAACGATGCTGAAGCACGTCAATAGTCGCGCCAATGCCATGCTGAAGAACCTGAAAGTCAATTTCAACGCCGGCAAGATGAAGACTTCTCTGAGACTCGCCGAGGATCTACTGGCGTTATCTTCCCACTCGGACGATCCCCGTCGGCACAGAATACCGGCGTACCGGTACTTATCTCTGATACACGCGGCCTTGGGGCGGCACGATCGAGCGTGCAGCAACGTCGCCATGATGGTGCGGCTGTCGAAGGGCGCGAACGACCCCGTCGTCCTGTCGCACGCTCTCGTGACTCTGGGCGAGGTGCATCTCAGCTTCGGCCATCTGGAAGCGGCCGCGCGTGCCCTGGAAAACCTGTCGATCCACGTCGGCCATCCGGTGCCGCGTGCCTGGGTGCACCACGAGATTGGACGCTGCCATTTGGAGACGGGGAAGTACGTCAAGGCGCTGCGCAAGGCGACGCGGTGCCGGGAATGCGCGGAGGAGGCGAGCTCGAAGAAGTGGACCTTCCACGCCGACCTGCTGCGGGCGCAGTGCCTGGCGATGCTGGGTCGTTTCGCCGGTGATGACTCTATTTCTCAAACTGTCGTTCCAAGAGCATCCTTCCGAGAGCATCCCTTTTCTTCTTCTTCCTGGCCCAATTCTTTCTTAGCCGAACGCGCGAGCGAAATTGTGACGCGCCGTCCTCCAGCCAGAGATAACACATATCTTTCTTTTTCATCGGGATTTCAGCGAAGTTTTTAAAAAAAAAAAATCTAATTTTTCTAACCTTTGGAATTTTTCCAGGGTATGATATCCGCGTTGTGGCCTCTGGCCGTTTTCGTTCTCCACCGAAAAAATAAACGCACGTTTTCCCGCAATTTTACATTTTTATCCGAATTGCTCCGCAAAAAATATATCCGAAACGTCTAGTTATATCAGAATTGTATGACTGAGCTGCAAAAAAGAAAGGAGGAAAGAAAACAGAAGCAGAGTGAAAAATATAACACTTTTACCCGTGACGTGTACGCTAGTTTTATCACGAGGAACTTTCATTTCACTGTGTTTGTGAGAAGATATCAAAATGTAGACCACGGTGAAATATCTGTAAACAACTAAAATACGGCAAAATTGTGGTAAAAAATACGAAATGGCTAGTCTAGGAATGAGATCAAATTAAATACATGTATAACATGTATATACCCTGGAATTATTTAAAATTCAGTTATACATTTAGATACATATTTGATCGCTTCGCTGAAATTACGTGACGATTTAAGAAACGTTATCGCACGTAAAAAAATTTCAGTCGTAACCGCCAGATCGTAAGCGACATCAATCACATTCGAAAAAATCTAAAAGATCGCAATTTTGATTGTGATTGATCGATTCGCTTACGACTTTATGGTTACGACTAAAACTTTTTTTTACGTATGATGACTTTTAGATTCGCTCGCCGTTTGTGCACGGATATGTGTTCGGATAAAATTATGTAGGAAGTTAAGTATAGTATGCGACCGTCCCTAAGATGAGCCCCGCTTCACGCAGAGGCCCTCGAGGAGCTGCGAAACGCCGCGAAGATCAGCGAGGAGGAGGGTGACACCCCAATGCTGTCTTACATCCGAGATCTAATCGAACAGCTGAATCGTGCTCTGCGCGAAGTCACGTTCGGCAAGGATCGATGCCACGACGGTATTCTTCGAAGGTTATCTCCGCAACGCGAAGGACCATCCGTGGGGGACGAGGAGGCGATAACAAGTTCGGGAATTAGGAGAACGACGTGCAGCAAGGACAACGACGCTTTAACGTCGTCGTTCTACTCCGATTGTCTGGAGGACGAGATTCTCGAACGACGCGAGATAGGTATTAGGTCTGCGGAGGGATTTATTTGAAGGGGGATACCCCTTCAATAAATCCCCCGCAATGCTTTTCTGTATCGTCGAAAAATTTAAAAATATTGTTTGAAAAAACGATCCACAGATGATAAAAATTGAATCTGTTGTTTCAAAAATGTGATACATATGCAGCGAATTGAATGTTTTGAAAAAAATCGGCTTATTCGTGAAACCGTAAAGATTTTGCGTTCTGTTTCTCATGCGTAAGCTGATCTCTTATCATCACGCAGAATTCTGCATTCCTCTATAAAATAACTGCAATTTTATTTCTTTTATTAAATAACATTTAAATTTTGTCTTTTATTTCTTATCGTTATGTTTCCAAAAAATTTGTCTTATTTCGAAATAAAAGCTTCGAAACTGTAATCAACGATATTAATGTAGAATCGAATTCGAGTTCGATGGACAGTGCCGTGTCCTGCAGAAGCAAGAGGACCAACTTGACGTACGTGATCGATTCACGTACGGACGTGTCGTGCAGAGACAAGCTCGACGGAATGAGGATATGCGACGACGAACTTTTGTCACGCGAGTCGCACATGACGTTCCAAACGTGTTGCAAAGAGTCCCGGCACTTCATCGACGGAGACAAAGCGTCGGTCTCTTTAAAACGAGCAATCGCGACGTGCTCCAGTAATGTCGAAACGAGCGGCGGACAAGCTGAATGCGAGACATTCAGGATTTCGAGATCCTGCAGCGAGGACGGGCGGCGTAACGGTGACACCGTTATTGGCAAAGTGCAGCGCAACGCTGTCGCTGGTGCATCGCGCGATCATTCGTCACTAGATGAAACGGAAAAACGGGAGAGCGATGAGGAATCCTTCGTTCGCGAAGCATTTTCCAGCTCCGAAACCGTAACTATTTGAAGCTAAACTCGCCGGAACTGCGAAAGAAGTGTTCGGAAATTACGCTTAATAAATTACGACGAAATCATGACGAAAAATCGAAGGATTGTGCCGCAGCAGTAAGTCTGTTCTTTTTAACTGAACTTCTTGCACTTCATCTCTTCGCTTTTCTTCCTCAACGTGGAAAGATAAAGAGGAAAGATAAACCATGCGAGAAGTTCAGAAGGTAAAAAAACAGACCTAGTTATAAGTACAACAAAAAATCTTGAATTTTTCCACTTCTTTTCTAATGAAATCTTTGATTGTAAGATTTATTGATCGCGAAATAGAGATTAACTGCAATGATATAATGAAATGTATAATATAATATAATAATAAATTGATGATGGAATAGAAACACAATTGCGAACTGCCTGTAACGATGCTTTGAATGAGGTTCTTTTTATTATTTTTTTTTATATCCGCGAACCGTGTCTGATTGCATATAACGTCCATCCAGTGTATGTCAAGTCACGCTTTATTTACTCGTGCTAGAGGTGTATCGCGCGTGTAATTGTGCATCGTCGTACGAAATGCCGGGCGACCGTAGTCGCCCCGTTAATGAGAGCGCGCGATCATAATTAGCCGTGTGCTTTTTTCTACTATTCGTATTCGATCGCGAAATTTGAAATTGAAACAGTGATATAGAGTGACGAACAACCTTCACCATTCACCACTCTATTATCTGTGGTCACTTCTTTTTATCTCTTTTTTTTTGGGAACAATTTAATATTGCAAAACCTCTTCAATCTCTTTTCTGTTAAAAGAGTAATTGACTATTTCACGCTAGTTCAAACCAAGTTTTATCAAATTTACAAATAAAGGAAAAAAGTATTCAAAATTTATGCGATAACTACATATCGCGCGGAAAAAATATGTTATTGGTACACTGAAAAAAAAGTTGTTAACTTCATTAAAGTAATTTAATTTGTCTTTATTTCTTTCGTTGGAAAATATAGTTCTTTTTTTTTTAAAGAAAAAGAAATCGAAGAGAATTTTGCAATATTAAATTTAATTACATACATACATTCTCCAATAAAAGAAATAATAACGAGCTAAACTAATTTAGTCAAAGTTGACAACTTTCTGTTTCTCTAATGTATTTCTATGTGTTTTTGCATTAATATATTTCTAAAAGAATTTTGAATATATTTAGATAAATTTTCAAAAAACAATCGTCAATCTTCAAAACGTTATCGTCGAAAATGTGTCTATGTGCTGCAAAGCGTTTAAATTATAAAAATTCAGCTGTATAAAATCATTATGCGATCAGGCAAACAAACTGGCATATGTCGTGTAAATGAATGAGTTTATTTAAACGCATTTATCGCGCTCGTGAGGACATATGTTTGTACACCTCGCCAAAATTCAATCGAATTCGATGTCAAAGGGTGAAGCGGCGTGGAAGGTATCAGCGCCGGGGAGCAATCCACGCGTGTAGGCGTGACAGCTCCGCCTGCCGCCGCGGCATGTAAAATATGAAAGAACGGCAGAAAAATACGTTGGAGAGGCAGAGGCGAGGAGGACGCGAGGTTCTAAAAGCTACCTGTTGAGCTATCTACATGTTCTCGGCAGGCCTCTTTGTCGAGCTGCCAAGATGGCGAAGAAAATAAGTTGGGACGCGCGAGAATTTGCAATACGCGAAACCACGATTGCGACCTCGCCGCGGCTGAAAGTGCAAATTTCCAAACTAATGTAATGAACTAATTATTTTCAAACAAAATTGAGGCACGTTAAATTCGGTCGCACGATGTAAAACAAAACTCCGGCGCCATTACGCTAATTTTATCGCATAAAAATGCTCCAATTATCGCAGTATGAAAATGTGACAATCTCTAACATTATAAAAAATTATATATTCTCAGAGAATTAATAAAATAAAATAATATATAAATCGAAGGTTATAAAAAAATTAAATCTTAGAAGAAGAGAATTTACGAACAATCGTTAACAAAAAATATAGATAGAAATCTGGGACACTTATTTGTGTACTCTTCGCTCGTACAAAATTACATTTCTCCAGTCGCTCTCGAAAAGAATAACAAAAAAAAAGGCAGACACAATAGTTCTGCTTTCTGACAAGAAATCCCTCCGTTGTTATTTCAATTCGCACGCGTTGTGCAAACAGTAACGTCTCGGTCTCTGACGCGGGATTCGTCCGGACTCGCTGAGTGGAAAAAAAGATCCAGACGCTGAGTCGCATGAACAAAATGGCGCAACCACTGTTGCTTTTATTATCGCAGGAAGCTGCTGCTTGAAAGTGTAAATAAACGCGGAAGCATTTGTTCAGAGCGCTTGCCTTTAAGAAAATTAAAGCGGACGCTTCTCTGCAGGTAACAAGTGCCGTAACAAATGTTGCAGAAACACGCGAGTGAAGAGGAAGCACTTAATATCTCGGCGCGAGGCTGAACTTGCGGCCGAACGTGTGTCGGACGGCGACGATGACGGAAGACATTTAATACTGATCGCCTCGTAAAAAGCGGAGAATTTATTCGCTGAGTTTCGCCTTCGTACTTTTACTTCGAAACAAATGCTTCTTACTCCCTTATCTCCTTTCTCTCCCCTCAGAGAATACTCTCGCGTCTCTCTTATCTTACACGACCTGTGTAAAATTAGACTCCGTCCCTCGTCGCGCACGAATGCACACGACCCTTCTCCCTCCCCCCTCCGTAGGGAGAAACGTATCGACCGGAAGCTCAACAATAGTTTCGTTAAAACAACCGCGCTCGGGAGTGTCGACAAATTAGTCGAGGGCCGCTTCTCAAAAGGGTTTCCCACTTTCCACTCATCCCGTCAATTCACGCGCTAAAATCCAACGGCGTACAATAAATCCCTATTAACACCCCGGCCGGGTTTTTGTTTTAAGCACCGACACGTGTGTGCGGCCGCTTAGACTGACCGATGTTCTCCAAGTCGGATTTAATCAACTGATTTTTCTTTCACTTCCTCTCTCTCTCTCTCTCAACGAGCGCGGCAACGGGGAATCATTTCGCGAAGAAGAAGAGACCTCCTCCCGGCTTCATTTCCGCGAATGCGGTTAAAACCATCTCTTCAACTTTAACTCGCCGGGAATGTGCGCGCCTTCCCTCGCACAGCGTGTATCCTAAACTCAGATTCCAAGTTTCTTGTTAACTCGTTCATATGGAATTTAATCGTGTGTCCGGAAAGAACAATAAACGTATATTACTTTAATCTTTTGAGACAAAAATAAATTATGTCTTCTTAAAAATAACATTGGCAAATTCTTGAAATTGTCTTCGAAAGTTAAGTAGAATTGTCTCATTCGGCCATTTCGAATTTTTATGGATGCAGCATTGAGCGTATTTTACATGCAAAATTGATATTAGGATATACAAAGATTTAACTATAATATTTTCTATTGATTTAAGAACTGTATAAATGGAATCTCAATCAGTGGCGAATCCAGAGAGTTGTTTTGGGGGGGGAGGCGGTTATTATTGTCGTTAATGTTATTTTTAATATTTTTTTATTATTAAAAAAAATTGAGTGAACATTATTAGTCTCAAATAATTTTTGATAATTTTTTTTCTCAATTCATTTAAAACCGACTTTTTCCAATATACGAAATTTGTTTGGAGAGGCAATCGCGACGTGGTCAATTGCAACGCGTAGTCAATCACAATGTGGCCAATTTCAGCGCGTGGGCAATTGTAACGCATGAGCAATCGCAACGTGGCCAATTGCAACGCATAGTTAATCGCGACGTGGGCAACCGTTAAGTTATTTTTAATATTTTTTATTACTTAAAAAAACTGAGTGAACATTATTTAGTTTCAAATAATCTCTGATAATTTTTTTTTCAATTTATTTAAAACCGACTTTTTCCAATATACGAAATTTGTTTAAAGAGCTCTGGGGGGAGCGATCGCCTTCTCCGCTCCTCCCCCCCCACCCTTGTATCCGCCACAGATCTCAACTTCAATTATGAAAATTTTATATTACAATCAATAAATTAAACTAGACTGCTATAGTGAATAACACAAATAACAATCATAAACTGAAGCTGGAAAAATAATATCACAAATTAAATTGATCGTCAATTTAGAGAAATTTATCGCAAAAAAATATTATCTCGGCCACGGTCTTATATTTATAAAAGTATGTCTTATATTATACTAAGACTTTTTGTCGTCACTTCTTTTTATACCGATTTATTTAACCTAAGAGTTCCTATGTCGCGCCACTTCTACATCAGCCGTATTTCATTGTCAAGATATCGAAATGCGTGCGGTCAAAACTATTTTTGCCATTGGGTTCCGTTACCGCCGCATGAATTACGGCTGCCAGCCAGATACAGTTGGATATTGTAAGATATGTGTAACAAGTTTTCTCTTTCATATATGTTTTTGGAACACTCTAGACACGAGCTCGATTATACGGCAGGAACGAAATAAAAAGAGAATAAATGGAGGGATTGCTATTATATTTTTAAAGCTGATATTTTTACAGAATGTAACAATGGATTATGATTGTTTATCGTGCGGTCGAAAAATCACAGAGTCTGAATGAAATGTTAACAAAACAACATATTGAGCAAACGCGTGATTAAAATGATAATAAAATAACGTAATGCGGTTGACATTAATATTTTCAGGCTTTCAGTTTGTACCGTCTGTAGCACAGTACAATTCCGCACAACAGTCGTTATCGCGGTCGCGCCGAGATACGATTAAATGGAACGCGAAAAACAGAAACAATAGTTCGGACCCAAGTCCCTCGGTTGTGTTTCGCGTTAGAATAATTCATCCGCGGCTTTTACGCGAGAGCTTTCCGAAACATTACCTTTTATTCTTATCTACGACTGCCACGCGGAAGATAGAAGACTTTCGCGGCGGCTAAATCGATTTTTGAAGATGCGCCCCGGTCCCTGCCCGCAAGCGCGTGCTCTGGAACTTCGATAGGACGAGAAGAGAGAAGGGAGATAGAGTTCTGCGGGTTACAGGGAGAGTCACGGTAAAGCGAGTGGAGTGATGAGATTAAACCGCGTTAATCTGAAATCTTTATCACTGTTCCACCCGACAACTCAATTAAAGGCCGTAATCGACATCGTATTACATAGAAAATCAGTGAATTCCCGGAACTTCCGTTAGAAAACCTTCGCCGAAGTTATCACGCAAAGAGGAAGATGAGAAGCTTTTCAAGTATTTAAATAAAATCATGTCAGATGGAATCGATTAAGTAGATCAATAGGTAAAATAAGTAGAAAATGATACGATGTAGTCAGACGTAGTCGCTATTCTCGCGCTGTTCTCAGCTTCCGGACACTGAGCGTTGATTTTTAATAAGCTCAAATATTGAGCAAGGACAGCATTTTACGAGCGATAAT